ATATTCTAAGTTAAGATTAATTTCAAATAGATTTACATAGATAGATTATGATTAAATTATGTGATCGATTTAAGTACTTAAACGTCTGATAAATTTTTGTGATATAAGTGGTAACGATAACAATATATATTTTATACATTGATGAATGAAATTGTAAAAAAATTAAATTATTGAAATTATAATAATTTTGTAATAAAATTTAATGATTGATTTGACAATTTTCATTATTGAAAACTATACATTCGTTCTTTCACTTATATTGAAGAAATTATCGATGACAATACAATTTTTTCTTATATTATGTAATATCAGAACAATTGTATATAGGAATAGAATATTTATATACATTAAAAGAATATTTGTATCGTTAAATTATTAAGAATATTAAATGTTATAATATTATATTTGAAAGAAATATTTTATATTATGTTTTCAATATTACAAATAGACAATATAACCGTTGTTTAATTATTATTTAAAGTAAATGATTATATTTTCATAGGTTTTTATTTTTCTTTTTGTAACAATTTTATTAAAATTTTATATATTTGTAATATACAAATAAAGATCGTTATAATTTTAATTCAATTAATTAAACTTTTCGTTGCTTGAAATACTGTTATTAATAATTATATAAAGATTTTTAATATTAATAAAAACTATAGTTTTATGGTTAATAATAACATTCTTTCTAATTCTTATATATTAAGAATATTGCGTTTTAAACTATAAATATTTACAATTATATAACTATCTATAATATAGTACTACGCAATACGTAAAATAACACAGATGTTTCAAAATATTTGCCTATAGAAGTCAGTGAATAATTATTGTTTAACTATTTTTTAAAACAATTTTATTATAAATTTTATCCCACATTATATTTTCCTATTCTTAAAATAGTTAATCCGAAATTTGATTATATGATTTAAAGTAAAGCTTTATTATCTAAAACAATCTAAAACAATAAGTATTATTTTAAACTATTGTAATTTTAAGTTATATATTATAAAAACATTCCACATACTTCCCGCATACCTAATAATTTAATTTATTATATTATTATATCAAATATTTGGAGTAATACAAGTTTTATTGTTAAATCTAAAAATGTAAACACATTATTAAAAAATTCCACGCATTAAATTTTCATTTTACAATTAACGTCTCTCAGAATAATAAATGTTTCTGGTATACAGGTTGAAATGATTTTTTTTTTTTTGTATACATGTTGATTGCTTGATGCTTGAGAGCGACCAGTCAATAGTTATTGAGTAGTCAATGAGTGCTCAGTTAATGGTACAGTTAATGGTCGGTTAAATGGTCCATCAATCAATAAATGGCAACAGAATAATGAATAATCAAAGTGGACAATCAATAGCCAATCAATGATTTGTTATAAAGCAATCAAGTGCTGGTTAATTTTCAGACAAAATTCAGTTAGATATTATTCGTCGACCGACTAATCAATTGTCAATCTATTTATCAATCCTTCAATGAAATCCAACATGTATCCAAATATCCTGTATACTGTTTTTCGCAGCGAAAGGCTAAGAGATCAACAAGAAGGGTGATGAAACAAAAGCTACTTAGACACTTTGGGCTAGTTTTATTAATTCAATTAACAACGTGTTATAATACTCTTCGTCTCTTTCTCTTACTTATAATTACATAATTGTAATGAACTTGTTATTGTTTTCTTTAGACCCGTCGTCTTTCAACATCTTAGCGTAACTCATCCAAAGTCGCGGACACACACTTGCAGGAGCACGTAGGATCATTATGATCATCATCATCATCATCATTATCATCATCATTATCATCATTATATGTCATCAACAACACCACCATCATCACCATTAGAATCGTTATCGTCAACAGTCGTCGTCAGATAATCACCCAGCGCACCTAGTACTTAATTTTATTGGATATGGCAGCTACAACTTATAAGAAATATTACAAAATCACTGAAGATTCGTTCTTCTTGCGTCTCGATAAGTTTTCTCACTCACACAAAACGATCATACCGACACGAGCTTTCCTTCACGTAGTTTCACGCGACGTTCTTTTTCATTTTTTTTCCTTCCCCCCCCTTCCCCCCCTTTTTTAAAATGATTTCAGACTTGTCTTCGTATTTGTGGTGGGCCTGCTGCTCGTCGACGTTCTCGCAGCCGTTCCTCGCTAAGTATAATACCGATAATAACGCGCTCGATGGCATCTCTTCGGTTTCTCTTTATTTGTTTATTTATTTATTTTTTTTATCTCCCTTTTTTCTTTTGTATTTAACTCCACCATCGAAGTATCGCGTTTTATTAAGGGATAATTACACGCTCGATGACTAATATCGTGTGTCGAATAGGAAGAACGTAGTAAAACCTATATGTGTACGCGTATTTGTAATGTATGCACGTGTTTACGTATGTCGTATGTGCCATGTGTACGTGTGTGCGTATGTTCCTCTCGAGGTCCTTTTTTTATCTTTTTATCTTTTATTTTTTTTATCTTTTTATCTTTTCAAATATAAGTAGTTGAGCTGTAATTGAACAAGTTCTGAACAAAGCCGCGTGAAGGGTCGATCAAAACGCAGATCGCCGAAATGCAATTAGATTCACACCATACCCGTACGTACACGCATTCACTCCTTCGCTCTACGGGCTGCATATGCAAATTTCTCCTATTAGTCTTCTAGTAATTTAGTATTAATTAGTTACACAATTAATTTATTTAATTCGCTTGTTAATTAATTATCTAGTCGTTAAATCTGTTTCTCGTGAATCCGCGTTACTTGTCTCTGTGTATTATGTATTAATGTATTCGTCCATACGTGTGAAGTGTAACTTTTGTATAATTTATATATATGTAAATATATATATATATATATATATATATATGTATGTATATGTATATTATATGTTGCGTGTATTTGCGTTATGTTTTCATGTAAGCGTCTACGTGTATTCGTGTATTTGTCAGTGTGTGTGTGTGTGTGTTGTGTGTGTACGTGTACTAGACTTTTGTAATTTTATTTTTATTTTTATTTTATTTTATTTTTTTTTAAATTATTTTCCTTTAATGCGAGACGGTGTTTAGTATTATTTCATATAGATTTGGTAGACTATCTATTTACTTGAGTTTACGTGTTATAAATATCGTATAGTAAACCGCGTTTCTGTCACTTCGTCATTCGATTATGCGCTTTGTACGAGGGTGCAATGCGAACCGAGTGAATATTATTACAGTTTGATGTGTGTACATGTACATGTTTTGTCGTTTGTGTCGAACGTAAAATCACGTTTCCTTCCTTTTGATTTTTCCTTGATGGGATCTGACGCCGTGTCTAAGACGTGTCATCAGTTCGTCGCGGCGAAACTCGTCGAGCCAAAAAGCAGCAACGAGATTCATTGATTTTTACGATATTTCGGTCGGTGCTCTTTGATTTCGCTCGAGAACGAAAATTAGAAACGATACAACGACGAGTTGCACGAGTTGTTGTTCGACGTCCTAGATTCGGCGAGAGAAGGAATAAAACAGCAGCGCGGGAAAGTTTATGGAGAAAACCGAAAATGCTCGAGTCAAAGGAGAGAGAGAGAGAGAGAGAGAGAGAGAGAGAGAGAGAGAGAGAGAGAGAGAGAGAGAGAGAGAGAGAGAGAGAGAGAGAGAGAGAGAGAGAGAGAGAGAGA